TGTTTAAAAATTAATGAATGAAAAAAAAAAAAAAAAAAAAAAAAAAAAAACTGAGTAAATGGAGGGGCCAGGGGTATGGATGTCATTATCGACTGTTGTGGGGACGGCAGAGCCCGAAACTGCCTTTTATAAAAATATGTTCTGTAATAGAAATGTCTATTTAAACGGAAACTCTTAAATTATTATTATTATATATAAATATATCTTATAAAGTTATATGGATAGTATAGTTAAATGTTCATTTAACGGGTGGAAAATGAGCGTATAGAATTTTCTCTCTATAATTAAGTGGGACTCATTATAGTATGCACGTTCACCCCATCCATTCTATATAATACTCACGAGAATTCGATACTCGCCAATTCTTCAGGTGAAATTTTCGTCCAAAACCTGTAAAAATAAATTGTGAATTTTGTGAAGATAAGAATTAAAGTAGGACGTGAGAATGAGAACGAGAATGGAAAAGACTTTTTTGTCCCTACCCGACGGAGTTCTTTTTAATATCTCTTTGGTTACACCACATAAACCAGGTTGGAACGGAGTGGTTCATTGGGCTGAAAACAGAGAGATTAGACCATGATTCCAACAGGACACTCACACACTATGAATTAAACCCAACAAAAGGACAGACTATGTTGTTCTTTGGGGGACCTGTCTTTATGCAGACCGTTATCCGTTCCATGACAACACCAGGTGGGACACATGGGGGAGGTTCTTGGATAGAAGTGCAGCTTATCAGCTTGGATTTGGACTGCTGCAGGGAATCATGAACTAAAATAGTATATGATGCATCGTCTACCGTTTTTGACTTGACTGGTTTAAACCTTTTGAACTGCCTTGTTTATTTCATGAAATTGAGCCACTTAAGGCGTCCAATCCATTAAGTTCAGGAACAAAACATTATTTATAAGAGTTCGCTAGCAACCTAGCAACCGTGTTTTAAAGTACGAATCATTTCTTACAAGGATTTACTAGTAAATATGTTTAAAATTCGCACGCATAGTATTAAAGCTAGACATACATCGTGCTCGCCCCAAAAAGTGGATTGTGAGATCTCAGGTAAAACAAAACCATTCGGATAGAAACGGAATAATTTCAAAAAAATAAAAATTTTAAAAAGACAATATCTACCTTGCTCACACATGTGCAGGAAGAAATGAAGCATCTCACAGATGATAGAAACTAGAAAATTTTTAAAAAGATAATATCTACTAGCGATTGACTTAAACGATTACAACACACCATCAGGCGTTACGTTAAACGATTAACGCACACCATCAGGCGTTATGTTATCGATTCACTCGACAATGGGACACAATCGATATCAACAATATTGATAGAATCCGACCAAAAGTTCTGAACTGAAAACAGAATCAGATGTCAGAAACCCAGTTCCAGAAAAAGCATCACAACTTCTGTAGGGAACATCAAAACATTCCCCACTTGCAAGTTTGCTTTAAAAAATGCAACAAACCTGAGCTTCGATTTAGGGTTTATAGTAAAAGAGAACTTACAATATATATACACAATTATACACCATTTCCAAGTATGTTGCAGAGATCAAAACACAATAATTTTATGTATTTACTTGCAGGCTATAATAGATTTCAATCCAAACGACCACAAACCAACGAAAATAAAAGACAAATTCAGAGGGAAAAAAAAAAAAAAAAAAAAA